TACTCAAATACAGACTTATGAAGTAGAGGAACGAACTTTTGGGACAACCTGTAATATTTATCCCACGGTAGTTAGACCTTTGTCTGGGTGTGTCCACCTTGGGTATCGGATCAATATTCGATCTTTTCCATGATACAGGCCAAGTGTGCGTGCGCAGAGACAATTTCCAAATGACTGAGAATTGCTGTAAAAATCTCAGCATATTCCTTCCACTCCCAAAAAAGAATGCCATCAGGACCCGTGGCCGTTCGTTAGATATTGCTTAGAATTTTCTAAACGAGTCTCTCAGGAATCTCTGGAGCTTCGATTTCCCTCCCGATAACCACATCAACTGGTACAACCTAATTCAAGTCCGTACAAAGTTAATGAAAGTAGTCATTTAACTGGTTGGCGAAGGTGTTGTCTAATACAACCGAGTTAGAGTGGTTACGACCTTATGTGATGTTGTCTACTGTTTTCCACCAACCAGCACTTCCACCGTCTCTACATTTGTCGAGTTTGGAAATTTGACGATCTTCCCTCTTGAGCTAACTCAATTTTTCGCAAGAATCATATGGACACCTAGACAAACAACCAGCATTACCATGAATTCTACCAGGGCGATGAACTATATCAAAATCATACTGTTGCTAAAGAAAGGCCCATCTTTGCAAGACGACCAGAAGCATTTTGAACTTTCATTAACCAACGATGCAAACTATGATCAGTTACAACAGTAAACTTGCCATTGTGTAAATAAGGCTGAAATTTCTTAATTCCCTCAACTGGTGCGGGTGCGTCTCTCTTAGTTAGGAGCTGAGAAAGAAACTTAACAACTTCAAGAAAAATATGTTCATTAGAGACGTTCTGGGGCTGGCAATCTGTAGATCACGCATGTTGACATGTGACGGAAGCTTGAGGTTTCAACATTGGCAAGACAATAGGCTCACATGGATTACACACAACATCACTAAACTCTTGAACATTCCTTTTAGTAACATTTTTGTCCGAATTTATCAGAACTAGATTCCACTGAAGAATGACTGTTACTTGTACAATTTTCAAGCGCTCCCATCACGAGTTCACTACCACACACGAACGGGGCGCTAGCCAGTCTAACTGAGCGCCCATTTTTCCCTGCTGAAAAGCAGTTAGCATATTGTTTTCCCGACACAGACGTCTGAAGTTGGGTTTCGAGTTTCTAAATCTGCCCAATTTTGACTTTTACCAAAAAATACTGAATACTGAATACTGAATTTTTGCGACAGCACTTCAAATGACAAAATTTCGGCCTCTTTTTAAGTCTTAAACCACAGACTGGCATGTTTTTTGAGAAACAGAAGAAGACCAAAGGCTAACTTCTCTACATCCCAACCATTTAACTTACCGGCGCGACAATAATTATCAATAAACTCGCGTAGATCTTCTCTCTTGTCGCCATAGAATAATGGAAATTCAACTGCAACCCTATACATTACTTAAATACAAGGTTGGGTCATCATGATTTTGTTTTACATATGACCAGACTAAAAAAGAGTCCCTTTGTTCTTTTGCAATACAGATTACAGATTTCCAGGGCGGATCTTACACTCCTGACATGTTTTTCACCAAACCATGCACAGCAAAATAGGAGGGCTCTCCACCAAAATATGTAGTGTGTTCAAGCAACTCGCTTGATTATTCCACTTAACAGCAACTCAAGTGAACATAACTACAACATAACTATAAACTCCCAAACTGTACATAACTACAGCAAAACCAACTGCGCCAAATGTTGGACATGAGGGGACACAAAGGGCTTGCACTGTAAGTATCCCGGAGAGCTCCATACAATTCCTTATAATTTTGTTATAAGGAATTGTATGGAGCTTTCGAGGAGACTTTTCTTAATTAGTTTAGGCGCGACGGATTTTGTCACGTACGATCAACGCGAGGTGTTTCTCCCGACACCCTTCTGTCAGGAAAATGTCATCATATGAAAGCAAAACAGACACGATCGCGTCGGCGGGCCGAAGCCGGCAAAAATAAAAGGCTTTTCTTCTTCCATTTCAGAGGTCAGTTTTGTTTCGATCTGGTCAAAAATCAGTTTTTAGGTTGTCGGTAATAAAATATTGTCTTATTCTGTTCTCAAGGACCTTTAGAAAACGAGACAAACGAGATAATTGACTAGAGAAAGAAGCGTGAAAACGCTTTTTTGGAAGAAAATTTTTTTTAATTCCCGCAGCGATTTTGCGAAATCGCGAAGCGCAATATATTCAGTTTCTTCCAAAGCCGTCATGATTAAGCAGTGTAATGCCATCACAACTAAAAATGAATTTAGTTTGTATCGCAAAAGCCGCGAAAATAGAGCTGAAAAAAAATGGATCGGAAAAATTAATAAAATCGCCAAGAAACCGTCTCGCGAGAGCTTTGTCAAACAAACCGTTGGTACGGTTTATTTAACCTAACCTGGAAAAGGAGACGTCTGCACGAAGATGCATTTCATCCTATATGTAGTTGTGATTTCCAGAACGGACCTCGGGAGCCTCATTGCCGTAATATCTTCTACATTACAGAAACCACAGCAGAATCGCGCTGCTCGCGTGCTAACTTTCCGCTCCAATACGTATTATGACTATACAGTACCAGTGAATTGTTTCCAAATTTAAAGCGGCCGAAACTTATTTCCAGCAAAAAAAAAGCAATAATAATGCACAGCACTGTAGATAACACGGTTCTAGAATATCTGACGGCTTCGCGTTTTGTTCGTCGCTGCATGCGATTTAATCGCTTATAACCTAACAGAAAATGTAAATGTACCTGAAGGAAATACCGTGTATTGCCTTACCTTAACGCTGTAATGTGTGTAAATCTGTCTTTTGCTATGGTTTTAGACAATACGACTTCTCCTGACTATCAATGGTGCGTCAAAACAAGCGCGATAATGAAATAGTCGAAGTGCCATGGTGTAGCACTTTATGACAAAGTTTTAACTGGAAAACTTGTTGCCATCTGATGTACACCTGTATAGTCTATGTTTGTAAGCTCTGCCTAAAGAATCACTGGGTTACACTGCACCCATGGGTGTGCCACCTAAAGTGCAGCCTACGTTAACTTTGTTAGCTCTACCTAAAGAATCACTGGCTTACACTGTACTCACGGACGTTTGCCTCGCGCTCTCTTCAAAGACAAAAAAGCTATAGTCTGTTTGGCCAAAAATCAAGCTTTGTTTCCCCTAAAAATTTGACACCATATTAGGGCCCCGAAAGACGTTAAAAGTTCCTCCATAATAGAAGAGTGTTTTGCTAGAGTTTACAAACGTTTGGCTCATGAGTTTCAATATAAAGGTGCAAAAACTTATCAGCATAATTATAGCACACAAACATTGTCATCAAACTCCTGGCATGTAGCCTGAATAAGCCAAGCAAATATGAATAAAGCATATAACAAGAAATATTCGTCAAATGGTCTCGTTAAGTAAATTATACTTCACTTTGCGAAAGAAATTTATCGCTTGTATCCGTGTTACGCATCGAAAAAGCGAGGAGTCATCGCATGACATTAGGTAACAGAGGTAATACTCACGAGTTTCACGAATTCCCATTCCACGATTTTTCGCCGAGTAACAAATTTAAAACTTCAATTCTTACCTTACAGTGGTCGGTTCATTTACCTTACATTTGCCAACACTAATAAACATGAACAAAACGATGAAATCCGGCACTCTTCTTTCAGAAGTAGCAAGCCGCATGAAGTAAAATCCACCGATATGCGCTGCATTCTCACTACAAATATAAACATTTGCCGTGAAGAAAATACGACGAGGAGGAAAAAATGCCAGATCTTCGCCTCGGCAATGTATTCCAGCTACCAAGCCGGCGTATCTCCAGAAGGTGGACTCGAGGTGGGACAAACCTTGTGATTTTTTAGGAGCCCTTTGCGCGCAAACTAATTTATTCTGGCGCGAAATGAAGATTAAGAAAATGCATCTGAAATCTAATACACGACAAGAAAATTTTCGCACTTTCGAGGAGCGCGACATATTAAATGGGATTAAGTCGGATTAGCTGCCCGCGGAGAAAACATCACTGCGTGGGATGGTACTTCCAGTAAAAAGCCTCTGTGTCTTCTCATGACTTAAATAACTTAAATGTAGGTACCTTCTGGCTTGCTGAACATGAGAATTACGACAGCACTTCCTAATGACCTAAACGAATTGGTGATCACCAAAGTGGAATAAACAAACCTATAAGCCAGGTTAATAATGCCAGGCACAAGAAGACCAATGAAAGCTTGACAACTAAGGCCACGAGACTCTACCTTAAACCAAAACAGAAACTCTGAGGTAGGTAACAAACAAGGTCAGCTATGATCCCAAAACGTGCCTACTTCAAGGACGGACAATCAAATCGAATAAATGTCACTTATAATGAAACACTAAACCCCTTAAAAAGGAAATAAAATTCCAAAACCTGTCGATACAAATACGGACTCTCGTCTAAATTCCCTACAGACCACCATACCCGTGCGTGACAACAATAACGACACACCATATGCTATCGCGTGCTCACTGGAGGCCGCACGAGTTTACTGAGTAAGCTAATTCAACAACTGCAAAGGTGCAAACAAAGAAAGGCTCATAAAACAAAACAGAAAGGAAATCTAAACCTGGGAGGGAATCAGCGAGAATCCACAGGATGGAAAAACCTCACCGCGCTCGCTGCGGAAAAGGCTGAGGGAAAACCCCGGCCCTGTGGATAGAACCCTTCCGACCTGCCGGGCACGTTTAAGAAACAGAAATAAATAAATAACAAAAAAGTATAAATCAGATTCCTAAAGACTTCGTGACTGACAGGAGAGAATTAAAATCGTCCTTAACGTAGCCATCCTTGGCGTTCTCGCTCGCCCAACGGTCATGTCACTTGAAAAGTGTATCAGCGATACCAGTACGTATTAGCCGCAGAGGTGGCTCCTCCAGCCCTAAGGCTATGAACACTAATCTTCGAAACGTCCCTTATATCTCTAAAGGCGTCCTTAATGAGTTCCCTAGCACTTGTTTGGCAAATCCCTTGGCTTCGTACTTTTTCTTTTGACCGAGGAGTAGCGAGGGCTCTGAACGGCGGTAAATCCTCGGAGAGATTGATTTGAGCCTCCGAGATGTAGTCCTCCAAGGCCTTGACTGGACAAGTTGGCAAGTCTGTCCTCGCGATAACGATCCACGCCCCGTCACGGAACTGGTTACACTTCGAAGATTCTAGGAAAATGGACACATAAGATGGGAAAAACCTAACATCACAGGCTTTTATATGACATTACTCGCTAAAGCAAAAAAATCCATCGTAACCAATAAGGCATAACGCAACAGATCTAAGATCAGAAAGAGAAGGAGACTTATCCTTTATCTTAGATTCCACGAACTCTTTCAACATTTCAGGAGTTATAGGGTCTTTTTTGACCTTAGGCCTGCCCAAAATCCTTTGAGAGGCGCTGACCGTTGAAGCAACCAGGGGATGACTGGAGATTTTTGATAAGCCAGCCAACTGTAGCGCCCAGTCAATGCTGTAGACCGCGTTAAGAACCGGAGAAGGAGAATACGCTTCATTAAGCAGACACTGCAAGAAGACTGCGACCTGGAACGGATTAGATGGAAAACGTTAGACGTAATTGGAGGAAGCCCAACTTTTCGATATCTTAATACCTCCAAGGTAGGAACGAACAGTGCCATCCGCTTTGGAAGCAAGAACAGTGCTTTTCACCAAAAAAGCCGTGGGCTGAAGATCCTCTGGTATTGAGGCGAAAAATTCTGACCGCATTTCAGACTTGAACACATCTGTAAAAAGACAAAGCTAACAAAGAGCAAAGGGAAAAAACGAAAAAACACCCGCCTAACAGCGCAAACAACTAAAATAGAATAATAAATAAATATATTAATCGATCAACCGATAAAGAATCAAATATACAAAAAAAAAAAAGAAACAAGAATAAGAAACTAATAGATAAAATTAAAGACAACAAGACGGAAAATACAAAGTAAGACGAAGCATAAAAGCACCGCAAAACCACAATCCAGCGCACAGATAGTCATAATAATTTTCTACTTTTAAATAACAATTTTCTACTTTTAAATCCTGACAAAACAAAAGTCGTTGTCTTTGGAAGCCGACAACTACTTGCCAAACTCCCCGACTTCAAAATATCTCTTCTAGGAAAAGATCTCGCTCTTACATCTTCGGCCAAAGATCTTAGGGTTGTTTTAGATCCGCAACTAACGTTTGATGACCATGTTCTAAAAACTACGTCATCTTGTATGTCAAGCCTCGCACAAATCAGTCGGGTTAAACATGTTCTTGACCGTAACCAACTGGTGACAGTAATAAATGCCCTAGTCTTTAGCAAATTACTGTACTGTTCCACAGTGTGGTCGAACACCTCGAACAAAAATATCTGTAGACTACAGTCAGTGCAGAACTTTGCCGCGCGCATTATTACAGGTACCAGGAAATTTGATCATATAACCCCCGCACTAAGAGATCTACGTTGGTTTCCAATTAAACAAAAGCTGTTCTTCCGCGACGCTCTCATGGCATTTAAATGCATGACTGGTCAAGCTCCACATTACCTCAGCGATCAATTTACAACAAGAATTGCGGTCACCGGGCGCGTGACTCGAAGTTGCCAATTATTAAACATCCCCTTGTATAAGTCGAGTACCGGACAGAGAACATTCCACTACCGTATGGTGCACATTTGGAACAATCTAGACAGTACTCTTAAAACTGCAAAATCGATTTCTACTTTTAAATTTTATTTGAAAAATAAATTGATTACTGACTTTTTAAATAGCACGTTATGATAGTATTTTAGTATCTTACTAGTATCTTATTTTATTTTAACTTAAAATATGCATATTGTATAGTACGTAGTGAGAATATTTATTATACGATTAATTCTTAAATAGGTATGTTTATATTGCATTGTTCACCGCATTCTTTCCTATCAATCGAATTGTTAACTACTTCTCTTATCTTAATTATTTTTATTTTTATTTTTTTTTTAGTCGCATTGTCACTGAAAAGCCCCACCAGGGGAGTGTCAATAAACTATTGTATTGTATTGTATTGTAGAGGAGACAAATAAACTCTAAATCACGAAGCTGAAGGGTTTAAAACAAAACATACGAACTGATCGACACTCAAAAGTATAATCCCGGACACAAGAAGTCCCTATAATCAATAAACAGATTGTTATGAAACCGAGAAAATCTATAAATCCTGGGCACAGATGGTCCCAAACACTCTGTCACAAAAAAATCTCATAAACTTGGGCGCAGATGGTCCCAAACTCGACTGACGAGGTTGTAGAGTCCGAGGATAGTTCTTCTCTTTCTTCTCGTCCTTCAAACAAAAGTTTAAACGACAATTCGAGTTTATCAGAGTGTAACAGAGCACAGACTTATTTGTTTGAGCCGTATGGCAGCAAGTTTATTAAACTCGGATGCAAACTAAGGCTTTAAAAACCACTGCAAGAACCGTGAACGATCAATGTAGCTCATCGTTGCATGAAACAAGATCGTGATCAGTCGAAAAAGATAAAAATAGAATTAAAGTAAAAAAGACTACTGCAAAAACTGATCAAACAGCGTGAAAAAGGCCGGGTATACAATATTTCCTCCGGCCAATACCAATCTTCATCAGGTGTATTAGGGAAAACCACGAATATACAGAATATATACTACTGTAAAATAATAAAACGAAAGTTACATGGTATGACGTAGTACGGTGGTATGGCTGCCAAGAAAAATAAACCGAACAAAAAAGTAAAGATTACATAATGATTATAGTTCGTCACGTTTGTTCATTCCCAGAGGCTCGATGGTTTTGGCTTTATGAATGAGGTACGCCTCACGTGCTTCCCTAAGACAATCGTGTTCATATCTATGTGTTTCAATTGGGATTAGTAACACATGGGAAAAAGTGTGGCTATTGCTGAGATAGTGTTCTGAAACTACGGTTTGGATGTAACTGCCGGGGGGCTTAAGTATAGGGCGTCTATGTTCATTAAAACTCCTTGTTGCAGGTCTTTTTTTTACTTTAATTCTATTTTTAAACTCGGATACTGACTCGACAATCGAGTCCGACGTGGAGCAACAACGAGCGATTGCAAAATACAGATCGGTATTAAAGCAAATATGCTGAATCGCAAATTCTGTTCATTACTGATCGATGGTATTATTACACTTTCGAGAAAATAAAATAATTCTCGCTATAAATTTCTCTTCTGAGGGAGTGGCAATGTTTTCTTGGAGCATTATTTCGATCTAAAGCTGTGAAATAAGTATGTAAGCCGTGTATGCGTACAAGGCAATTTTCCTGGGAAATTCAGTGATTTCATATTATGGAAGTATGCTTGTATGAATTATATAAGCTTAAAGCCATGTCACAATTTTAGGTGCAAATGTGGATTTTTTTCAACGCGTAAATCGATTTCAGGAGTGTGTCTACTGCTCAGAGATTGACTGTGTGGCCATGATCGCTAAAAACAACAAAGCGGTTGAAGCAGAAGCATTAGCTAATCCGCCTGTTTGCATAACACAACACCCGGGATTCCAAGCCGTTTGCTTGAATCGCTGGGCTCTTCAGACGGCCTGGTAAGGATCCAAACAGCAGTACCGCAACTTTTACGAAGGCCAAGCACACAAACAAACTGTCACATAGCTTAAGTAAAAAGCAGCTGGCGAGGTGGTGCTCGGGCATTTTAGGCTGAAAGTTCCTGTTGTCCTGGCATCTTTCGCTGCTTGCTGTTTTTGCTGCATGAGGGCTCACTTCCATTCCTCAGGCAATGGAGATGACTTTGTGTTCTTTGTGTTCGCTTTGCAGACGAGTAATGAGAATACAGACTTCACAGAATTTTAACATGTACTCACTCGCCATATAAAGCATGAACAACTAATATACCGTAGAATTCCGAAAATAAGCCTCTCCATGTATAAGCCCCCCAAACTCCTAACGCAAAAAACCCTCTGTTAAATCGCCCCTCCGAATATAAGCCCCCAGGGGCTTGTACTTGGAAATTGCCCTCAAATACGAAGTAAAACAAGGCAATAACGGTGCAGTAACATATATGTTTCGGTATTTGCCAAAGAACTATTACGTGTGCCAATTGACTGCAGTCAGAAAGTGCCACAGTTCATTGCTGTTTCTTGACTTGGATTTCCTCGGTCCATATAGAGAAAGTACTTGCATGGCTGTGTTTTAAAAAGGTCTACGTCCTCAAGGCGAGTTTCGGTAAAACCTTTCCGCAAATTACAGAGTGCTTACATAAATTTCCTTCCATCTATAACCTAGCCCAATTAGCCTGCAGTGCAGGGGTTTTCATCGGGCGCACGAATGTTTTCGCTCGCGAAAGCGCCATGTTGAAACTCCCGAAGAGAGGTTTCGCCCACCCATAATGCGCCTGCACTGCAGGCTATACCCCAATCGATTTTGAGACGCAAATTTCCCTCCAAGTATAAGCCTAACCGATTTTGAAACGCAAATTTCCCTCCGAATGTAAGAACCTCAAAAAAGGCCTTTGAAAAATATAAGCCCTGGAGCTTATTTTCGGAATTTTGCGGTAATGTTATTATAGTGATTTGCCATGCCTTTATCTTGAGTATCAGTTTTTTAGTTTCTGGTGGCTCACGTTTAAAAATTGTTGGAACAGCATCAGCTTTTATTATTGGTTTCATCTTTAAGCCTAAAAACTAAGTTATTGCTCTTTGTGCTCTACAGCAGTCTTTAGTGAAATGAGCGCTACAAAGTTTAGCTGAATTCGTAGGCTCAGTGAGGTCGGATCGAGTGATTTTCACGGCTTTCGTCCAAAGTCTGGCATATCGGCGATCACCAGGCCACTTACAGAGACTTACTCCGTCTTTGCGAGTGTTAGAACATCTTCACGAAATATCAACCATAAAATCCTTTGTTGACTGTTCAAAACAGACCGAAAACATAGAAGCCACGTTGTGAAGTCTTGCGACCAGGATCTTCTTTTACGTCATTTCCGGTTTCTAGCTGTAACACAAAATTTGAATTGCGTAACGAAAATCTTTCCTCGCTTTCTGGCAAATGGAGAAGGACTGGACATTTTATTTTCCCAAAATCTTTTAGTAAGGCCATAAGCTATCTTTTCGTAAAATTTGCCGTTTTGGGTATAGATTCTTCCTTTAAAGGGTTATCTAAACCAGTTGGACGTTGGCTACAACAGCATGCAGCATACGATCTGTTTTCAAGTCCGACACAACACTTAGATCACACTAAGTGCGACCAAAGGATGCTGTTGATCCACAAAAACAAGATGGAGTAGGGTATAAGAATCCTTGCGAATACGAGAAAGTATACATTGACGAAACGGGAAGGTGCATGCATGAACGGATTCAGGAGCACGATAGGAATATACGGCTTTCACGAACTCAAACCTCAGCCGTTTTGCAACAGCCGATAAGACCTGAAATTATTCGCTTTGGGACGAGGTTAAGTATATTGGCCGAGACCCCCCTCACTGCAGTGGTATTCCCGTAGAGTTAAAGAGGCTATTCGCATAAGACTTCACCCTTACAACATCAACAGGGACAGTGAAATTGAGATTCTTGAAGCGTGGATGCCTAAGATGAGGTAACACAGCAGGCGATCGCGATAGCGGACCACGGTGGGAACAGTTCCTCGTCTAATAATGCCAACAACGCTTTGGATCGAAACCCACCATTCATAAGCGAGGTTCGTGATTCACGAATCGCTAACAACCAAGGTGGTACAAATAGTCCTACTCAGTAAACCAA